TATAATGAACAATTTTTTTTTAAAAAGAGAAAAAAACCATTAAAAAAAAAAATTTTCACATCGCCAGCGCTTTTTAGAAAAGAAAAGAAAAAGAAAAAAAAAAAAGAAAAGAAAAAAAGTAGTGTTGAATCTGATTAAAATGATTAAAGAGGAAACTGTTTTTTTTTGTTTTTTGCTTTTTTGTTTCAATTACAAAATAAAAAATAAAAAAAAAAAAATTTTTTTAATTTCGGGTTCGATAGGGTAACTAAAAAGATATTTACCCGGTAGTTACCCTGCTTTGTTGGCAGCAAAAATAAAAAAGAGAAAAAGAAAAAAAGAAAAAAAGGTAGTCATTTCAAATGAAATGCACGTGCCGGTGTGCTCACGTGTTTTGCGCTTTTTTTTTTTTTTTTTTTTTTTTTTCCTTTTCTTTTCTTTTCTTTTCTTTTTTTAAGTGCATGTCTGACTACGACGATGGTTGTTAAGACAGTGCAGATGTAATGATTTTTTTACCTCTTAGTAACTTCTAAGGTTGTGTAGTGTAGAGGTTATCACCGTTGATTCTGATTCAACTAACCCTGGTTCGAATCCAGGCTCGACCAAAAATTAAAAACGAAGTTGAATTTTTTTTTTTATATATATATATATATATATATACTTTTTATATACTATTTACAACGTCTATATATTTTTATATATATTATAATTTTTTAGCTAATAATGAAGTTGCAATAACAACACCTAAACTAATTTTTCTTTCTTCTTTGTTAAAATCTTCTAATTTAATTTCTGATGTATGTTGCATTAAATTATTAATTTCATTTGCCATTTTTTTTTCAAAGTTTCATCTCTTGTTATTAATATTGCATTTGATTCTAAATCTAAAGAATAAGCTCTTCGAGTATAATTTGATGAACCAACAACTGTTATTGATGGTTCTTTTTCTTCTGGACAAGTTATCCATATTCCCTTTGCATGATATGACCATCCATTTGGTGTATTAACTATTCCATTTTGCCATTCATATACTTTAATCAATTTTTGTTTACCAAATTTTGAAATTTTTTTAAGAAATTTTCTTGTTAAATAAAGATATGCATCTGGTAAATATTTTGATATACCTTTTGATTTATAAAAAGAATTTGCTTGTGGTGATGCTGTTATAATATTACCTAAAGCTGTAGAATTTAATAATTTTTCACTAATATCTGGATGCATATTAAAATATCCAGCTGTAAATGTCCATTTTATTGTTGGTAAATCTAAAAAAGTTAATAAACGTAAAATTGCTGGTTTTTCAGTTGATTGATCAGGTTTTAATAATGGTGTGAATTGTGATATAGGATAAACAACTGTTGTAATTTCTTTTTCTTTTTCTTTTTCTTTTTCTTGATCAATTTTGACAGTATCATCATTAAAATGTTGTTTTAATAAAGGTGTTAATAAAAAAGTTGCATCTTTAATATATCTATCTATATTTAAATGTGGTTCTGATGATTTATTAGAACTAGGCCATGATAATCTATAATTTTTAGATGATTTTGAAGAAAATAATTGATAACTTAATGAACTTAAAGCTTTTTGAATATTAAAATAATAATTTGTTAATTTTTCATCTTTAAAAATATAATATCGATCTTGCCTATTTGTAAAATAATCTTCTGATAAATTTGCACCTGATAAAATTATTTCATCATCAAAACCATATAATTTAGCATGTTGTAAACCCCATCCTTCATTAATTCTTTTAGGTAATAAAGCTTTTTCAATTCCTTTTAAATGTGGTGTATGATATAATCTAATATCAACTCTATTATGACCAAATTTTTCTACTAAAGTTGAAAGTAATGATGCAGGACATTTACCAGGACTCTCTCTAGTAGATCTTAAATAATCTGTCAAGATATAAACTTTTAAATCTTCATTCATATCTAATGCTTTGGATAAACATTCAATTAATTCATCTTGTGTCTTTCCAATATATAATGAACTTAAAAAAACTCTTTTCTTAGATTTAAGAATTTTTTCTTTTAAACTACAATAAAATTCTTCAGGATCATTTAATATTTCAACATCTCCTTTCCCTAATTCAAATCGAGGTGCTAACAGATCTAACTGTTCCATAACAACTTGAATCCTAGGATGAAACTTATGAGCATACTGGAAAGGTGAATTATTCACAGACACCAGCATAGAATAATTCTTACTTGAATTATGTATAGCATTATTTATCTTCATGGAACTTCGACACTGTAAAAGATAACTAAACGCTGTTTGAAACATAGTCATTGAAATTTTCCTTCAAACTCCATCGACTCTTCTACTAACTTTTCAAACTGAAAACCTTTTTTTTTCTTTCTTTCTTTCTTCAGCACAATATATACTCAACAAGAGACAAAGAAAGAAAGAGATAATTAGAAGGTGATGTCCGTTCTGTTTCTGGTATTTTTTTTTTGTTTTCGCTTTATTTTTTTTTTTGGCCTGACCTTGACCGCTCAAGTTTGTAAAACGGTTGTGCTTGTCATTATAATTGGTTTTGTGGTCTAGTTGGTTATGGCATCTGCTTAACACGCAGAACGTCCCCAGTTCGATCCTGGGCAAAATCAATTTTTTTTTTTTTTGGTCTTTGGTATTATTATTTCTTTACCAATTTTTTTTTTCTTGATTTTGGGTTTAATCTATTTGTTTCCAATTTCTAAAGTTGAATTGAAAAGAAAAAGATTATGGGTTTAGATCCATTGATGGTAGATGATTCAATTAAAGTTTATTTAAAAAATGAAATTTTAGAATCTCAAGAAGCTATAAATTTTGTTAAATCTCCTGAAGCAGGTGCAATAATTTTTTTTGGAGGTACTACAAGAAATAACTTTGAATCCAAAATTGTTACAAAACTTTCTTATGAGGCACATCATAAATTAGCTTTAAAAACAATAATTAAAATAGCACAAACAGCAAAAAAAAATTTTGCAGATGAATCTGTAGATAAAAAAATTCATAAAATTTTTATTAGTCATAGACTTGGAGTAGTACCTGTTAGTGAAGAAAGTATTATTATAGCTTTAAGTAGCACACATAGAGAAGAAGGTTGGCAAGCTGCCATGTTCATATTAGAAGAAATAAAGAAAAAAGCAGAGATTTGGAAAAATGAAATATATGAAGATGGGAGCTCAAGTTGGAAAGAAAATGAAAACTCAAATGTTTTAATCAGATGAATAAATGAAATGAAATGAAATGTAATGTGAAATATTTTTAGTTTATATATATATATATATGATTATTTATTTACAAGAAATAAAATGGGTAAAATTAATTAACCTGTGGAAGGAAAGCTTCTTTTGTTCTAGTGATCACTTCTACTTTCCTTGTTTCATAGTTGTAACGTCTAATAACAACTGCTTTCTTTGTATTCTTTTCAGCTATTGCAAATTCCTCAGAAGCAACTGGTTTTAAATACATTCTTCTTAACCTAACTTGCATCGATAAATCAAATACATGAGAATCATGAATCAATTTTTCAATTTCAATTCTAGCTTCTTTAGTAATTATTTTAATTCCTGAAAATTTTTCTTTTAAAATATTTAATATTTCATTTTGTTTTAATAAAATTTCATCAGAATTAAGATATGGATATAATCTAAATTGAGCATCAAATGAAATTTTAGAATCAATTAATTTTGATAAAAATTCATATTTATTTAATAAATTTGTTAATTCTTCTTTTGATATTTCTCCTCTTTTATATGATAATTTTAAATCATAATTATAATTAAAAGTTGTATAAAATTGTGCATCTTTTAAAAATTTCCCTCCTCTTAAATAACCATCAATTTTTACTAATCTTTCAGCAGCTAATTCTAATAAATCATCATTTAATTCAGAATTATTAATAAATTTTGGAATTTCCAATTTAAATTGTTGTCTTTTTTGATCACGTTTTAATTCACGTTCTCTTTTCTTGGCTAATATTTCTGGTAATGATAAATCTTCTTTTCTACTTTTCCTATCTTCTTCTAATTTAGCTTTTGATGGATTTATCAATACCGAAAGACCTAATCTTCTCATTCTTGGTTCCCAGTGAGGTGATGGTAAACGTACATCTTTATTTAAAGCAATACCAATAAATTTTCTCTTTGGATGGAAAGGATCTAAATAATAACGTACATAACCAGGTTCTAATGCAAATATAGTATGATCTCTACCAATACCTACATTTTCTCCAGGATAAAATTTAGTACCACGTTGTCTCATTATAATTTGTCCCGGTTTAACCAACTGTCCATCTTGTTTCTTAGAACCTAAACGACGACCAGCTGAATCTTTCATATGAGTTCTTGAACCAGAAGTTTTTTTAGTAGCTGTACGAACTTGAATAATAATATTATTATTTCTTTGATTTATTATTGATGAATAAACAGAGCCTACCCTATTTTTTGTAGAGCCTGCAAACTCTTTTAAAAACAGTGGGAAAGACATTATCAATAATTAAAAATTATATATTTCTAATCTTCCCTCTATTTTTTAATTGAATATATATATATATATATATATATATATATATATATATATTAACTTAAACTTTACTTATTATTTA